TCTACTCAAGTTTTTGAAGTGATTCAAATTGGAGATTAAAGTTCATCTCAAGAGATATCCAACGAATGCTTACATGCCTTATTCCAATGAGTAATGAAGAAGTTATGACCTTCCGAAATGAAGTTGTTTCGCCAGAAAAAGTTGCACGTCCGTGCCAATTGATGCACGTCCGTGCCAATTCATGCACGTCCGTGCCAATTGATGCACGTCCGTGAAAGGTCAGGCAGTAGCTATTGTTCTCATTTTAACAGGTCTGCACGTCCGTGCAACCTTTGGCACGTCCGTGCCGACCTGTAGACGGGCCGATTCTTGGTTTCTCCGTCCTTTTACTTGGGGGTTATATAATATCCCTTTAGCTTCATTTGTAAGGGGGGGGGTCTTCTTAGTTTATTTTTAGCTTAGGTTAGGGTTTTTAGAGAGAGAAACTCTCATTTTATAGAGAGAGAAAGTGAGAAAATCTTGTTGAAAGCTTGGAATATGAAGAATTGAAGGAAGGAGACTTGAAGATTTGGATACTCCTTGCAATATCAATGAGAATTTCTTACTCTCTCTCCTATTTTGTTATTCTATTTACTTATTTTTGTATCTTTTCATCCTTAATTACTTGTTTATGTTAGATTAGTGTTTGTTTCATGTTCTTAGTTGTTAATTCCTTTAGTTTTGCAATTTATTATGATTTGTGAGTAGTTCTTTTACTTGGGATTGTTGAAATCATTGATGAATTCACAAATACTTGTTTGTATGTGTTGATTTAGCTAATGTGGGATGTTAATTAGTTGAGCTTAAGTGGTTTCATTGTTAGTTCTTGTAAGTGGCCATTGCTAGAACTATTTATCTAAGCTTTCTCAACGAAGGATCGAGAGATGAACTTGAGTTAGCTCCCTTATGCTTGATTGACCCGAAATGCCATGAGAATAGGAATTTCCGATCAAGGGAATGTTTATGTCATCGTGATTATGCTTTAACACTTGTTTTATGCTTTGTAACCACGAGAGTAGGTTGTATTCATGATTCAAGTAATCCCTCTAGCTTGAGAGAGTAGTTGGGTGCCTTAGATGACTTCCCCTAATTTTATCCCCAAATTGCTATGTCTTGTATGTTAAATTGTAGTTTGTGAACGACTTAATTGGTGGATACCTTCCCGAGATCCTCTTTATTATTGTTTGTAGTTTTTCTTCATAACTCATAACCCAAAAAGACTTGACTTAGCTTATCACAAATCGATATTTGTTAGTGCTCCCCTTAGTCCTTGTGGGATCGACCCTTACTTACCCTTTCTACCCATTAGAGAGACCAAGTTAGGTTTTTATCTTTGGTAGGCTCGACGACGACCTATCAACCTGCTCCGACTCAAGGTACATATGCATGCAACTGTTGTTATATTGAACCTAGTGATCCAAATTTTAATCTAGTAATATTAATTTCAACATAGTAACCTTTATTAAAAATTTGTGTGCATGGACCTTTAATATTGTTGAGAACCTAAAGTACGACGTTATGTTGAATAGTGACCCTAAATTTAACATAATGATCTTTGTTATTAATATTGACCAGTATATAAAGAATATCATTAAAAAAATAAAATTAACCTCTTAGGTTCTGTTCTCTTCAGGTTAATTTCAGTTCAATTCCTTATTTCCTTCTCTCATAAATAATTTATTTCAGCTCTATTAAGTTCAATTCTACAAATCAGAACAGACCCTTATAGACTTATAGCCCTTATAACGCCACAATGACTTTTATTTTAACGTAATAACTTTTATTATAATGTAGTGACTTTTTTTTTGTATTAATAAAACAATAATAATAATAATATATATAATATTAGTGGTATATAATAAATTAATATGAACCAAGTCCATATAAGAGTTTACACAAAACCTAAACTTAATATTTTTTTTCCTTTATAGATTATGGTACAAATAAGGTAGGTTAAATTAGAGAATTATAGCAAATCAGACAGAGCATATTAGATCAAATAAGTAAAATAAGTTGAACTAAACAATTATATCATATTTGTGAAATCAAGAAACCAATGAATAAATCATTATTAAAACCATCCATGTTCAAAACCTTTAATTACATAATGACGATGTTTAAAACATACTTATAATAACCACTAGTTTTGTGCCCCGTACGATGCCCGGGTTATTTATTGAACTTTAAGATAAATTTTTAATTTATATGTCAAATTTTAAAATATATCAATGATATAAAATTAGTTAGGAATTGATGTGTTTTTATATATCTAATAGGCATACATGTAATAATGATTAATAATAATGTTGGTGAAAATGTTCGATTTAATTTAAATATTAAAAAAATAAAAAATAGCAAAAAATAAATTAAATATAATAAATGTTCAAAACCCGTTCGGTTGACCCGAACCCAAAATTTTGGGCAAGGGTTGAACATTTCTTGACCCGTAACCTGAAGTGACCCAATCCGAGATGACTCATGACTCGAACCTAATTGATAGGTCTACATAGTAATAAAATTCTATTGGATTGTGAAGTATATTATTTTAACCGAATAGTATATATTATAAATGGATGTTTTACGCTTTAAAGTACTTCTTAACTCAAAAAAATATTATGTATTATGATATAAAAAATAAATTTTTATGATAATTTTTTTAAATTATAATCTAATAATTTGTTTGAATAAAATTAATTCAATTTGTACCTCTGAAATATTTATATTTTGTCAAAAATAAAACTTTAAACTAACAATTTTATCCTAAAATTCTATCCAAATCTAAAATAACCTTTTTTATCTTATGAATTCTATCTAAATGTAAAGTTGGAACGCCAAGTGTCGCTGTCTCGTGGCCTGGCCAAAAGTTTTACTTTATATATTAGTTACAAGTTTGTGCCCCGTGCAATGTACAAGTTGTTTATTAAATTTTGTGATAATTTTTTTATCTATATGTCAAATTTCAAAATATATCTCTATTACAAAATTAGTTAGAAATTGATGAACTTTTGTGATAATTTAACTATGTAGTAGGCATGTAAATGACTAATAAAAATATTGGTATTTTTTAGAGTTATAATCTAATATTTTTTTTAAAGACAATTATAATTCAATTTGTACATCGAAATGTTGGTATTGTATCCAAAATAAAACTTTCAACTAACAATTTTATCCTAAAATTCTATTAAAAAAAAAGTCTAAATTAACTTTTTTATCTGATGAAATCTATTTAAATATATCTAACGTGACGTGACATTTGGCGAAAAGTTAAAACGCCAAGTGTCGTTGCCACGTAATCTGCCTAAAAGTTTAGCTTTACATGATATGATTTGCGGGGCGTTTGACTCGTGAAATTGGGGATTAGTGGATTAGAAGGTGAAAACTGAGATTCGAGAATTAAAAAAAAGAAAAGGAAAAAAAACATCAACTAGTACTATGTTTGGATGGGATGAAATTTTGACATTTCATTTTTTGTCATTTCATTTTATTTTATTTTTTCTGTAAAGGTGACTGATTTACTTTTTTTTGTTTATGTTTTTGTTTTTTAATCAACTTAAAAATTGGATATTCCTCTTATCAAACATGAACATTGCAAACAATCACAAACAATTAATTGTTTGTTTTCAAATTTCAAACTAATTTTATTGTTTTTATTGGTAAGTAAGCAAGAAGTTATATTAACTTATAAAAAAAACCTAAATTTATTGTTAAAATATCAATTTGTCATGAAAATCAACTCTAAACTAATTTTACATCAATTTTAATTTGATGGAAATGTAAAAACAATTTAAGTAATTTATTCCTTTATTATAAATGCAATAAGTTTTAAGATTATTTAAATAAACTTAAATGATACTAAGGTGTATTTAGTTTGGTAAGCAAGAATATGGGATGAGATCGAAGGGAAGTTTTAAATCTATTTTTAACAAAACCCTATGTTTATTAGGGGACGGGGGAATGAGACTATTAGTTAAGGGGAATGGAATTGGAATAAAATGTCTCTATATTTCGATTAAAATAATCCATAATTGGTAGTATTTAAAAGTGGGAATTAGAAAAGTAAAATAACAATATTTTTATTATGAAAATAAATGAGAAAAAAATGTTACTAAGAGTATTTCTAAAAATAAAATTGTTATGGAACATTTATTACTTGTCTATACATTCCAATGTTATTGAAAACAATTGAAAATAATTGAAAAAATAGTGACATATTTTTATAAATTTCTAACAACTAATTCTCAATCTCTATATCACATTCTTCACTCTTCAGTATTCTCAATAAAATAAAATAAAATAAAATAAAATAAATAAAAATAAAATTCCCAGTTTTTAGTCAGCTAATCTTAATTCCCTTAAATCAAACGGTAATTATATTTTCCATATGTTTCTAAAGCCAAACGTATGTTCGTTAAATATACATAATCTATGTTTTTATAACTCATTTTTAAGTAACATTAGGAAATTGAGCTAAATTTTAGAGTTTATAAATTTTTTCAAACAAACAAATGTTATAAGGTTTAATTTTATTCATTTTAACACTTACTTTATATTTATTTTTTTTAATAGACCAAATATGCTCATTTTTTTTTTAAAAAAAGCGTAAAAATACCGAGAAAAGTGAAAGATCAAAGGAAATAAAAAGGAAAATTTTTCTACACATATGAAATTATTTTTTGAACTAAGAATAGGAACAAAAACTTATATTGGATTAACAATGTCGTGTGACAAAATTAGATTAACAATAATACTCCGCATAATTTCTATCAATGAAATTTTGACCTAGTGCTGAACATTAAGAACATGTGTGTAAAATAGAAAAATGGATTCAAATCTCGTTATCTCCATTTATCATTTGCATTATTGATTTATTGCCCCTTAGGCCTAGACCAGGAAAATAATACAAAATGTCAATTAATTGTTATAAGTTTTGGAAAACTTTGAAAAGACCCTACAATATAAGTAACCAAACTCCATCATCATATTGTACCAAGTGGCTCCTTATAAATCCAACTAAAGAAAATAAAAATGAAAGATATTGTTGGTTATTTGATTTGAACTCCAAAAATATCAAGCTCAATCAAGTTCATTCATGATAATCATAGTTACAACTTACAAGGCTTTTATTATGATGTATACATTGAAACTGATTGAAAATCTTGGCTGTTAATGCCAATTAATTCAGTTTCTTTCACACAAAATAAGCTTTTTGAAAAAAAAAAAGAAAAAGAAAAAGAACACCTTGCCTAAACCTCTATCAATTGTTGAATACTAGCGAAAAAGTCACAAGAATTTTCGCGGGTGGCTATATACACCACGGCAATTATTGTCTTTGTTCCTGATTAATTGTCACATTCGTATTTTAACATAAAATACTTATATGACAAGTCTGGCAATTTTATTTGGACATGTATAAAATTAACTCGAGTTTTCCTTTTAATTATCATCGATTTCTTAATATCATATTGTTAATTAATTTGATTCTATTTTTTTAGAATTGACCACCCTCATAAGACGTGCCAAATTGCCAATTAGCAGGAGCAACATCGTAGCTAGTGATTGTTCTCCCGTCACTAGCCGTAACTTGGAAAGAGAGGCTTTGGCCGTCGAGATCACCATTGCTTTGCCAATTTTGACCCCAATTCCTAGACATGGGTTGCCACCCGGTCTTTGAACCCTTGATTGAAACCGCGTGCACGTCACCGGCTCCGGCTACATTGGTGATTAGGACCAAGTTGAAGTAGGAGTGTCCATTGATTGTGAATCTTATTCCTCCTGTTCTCACGCAAGGTACCCTGTCAAAGTGTTAAGTTACAGGGTAAGCAACACAAATTTGGATATCTTATACTTTTAACATCGTCACAAACTCTTAATTTAGACGGTTGTACATTAATTAATGTAAAATGACTGTAATTTGTAAAGTTACGGTAAAAATGTTAATGTATATAGATTAGTCAAAACACGTTAACAATTAAATTGATATTTAAACCATAACATAATACATGATATTGTACATTAAAATAATTAGTGTACACCCGAAACTCACAAAAGGTTTCGTACAAGCATCTTCTAATAATTAAGCTAATAACCGTCTTACCGAACACTTGTTGTAATTACAACCAACTTTGATTAAGAGCGTAGGGCCGAAAATGAAGTGTTCACGTGCGACTTTTCAAAAACGTACTCTTGTATTATCTTGTTGTCTTTTTCACTTCAATTATTTCATTTTACTTCGTATTTCTCAGATTTTCTTTGTCAAATGAAATAAGACAATTTCATATGAACGTGTTCTTAACAAGACATTTTAATGAAGAATTACAATAATTAGCAAAATTGTCAAGATTAGCCAACATGTAGTACGTGAAACTATAATTTGTAATCATGCACTATTGGTCTATGTATGTATAAAAACTTTTTTTTTTTTTTAAACCTCTATAGATAATATATACGAAGTATTTAATTACTATGTATAATAATTTACTTGTGTAATAGTTGGTCATAAAATTACCTTCGGAAAGAAACGGGAACAATTCCAGCGCGATATTGGGCAATTTTCAAGAAAGAAGGTTCAGCCAAATCAAAGTGTTGAAGAGGGGGATTGCACCATCCACCATTGTCATTAGACAAGGCATAATTTGGAGGGCAAAAATTGGTAGCAGTCACAATAATGCTCCCTGGGAGACACCATTTAGGGTCTCCGTTACATGTAAGTTCGTAGCATGAGCCACAACTCAATCCACTGTTAAATAGCGCGGTACTTAGGGCAGCCGTGCTAGTCCCGTACCCTTGGCTGTACAAGTTTCCATATCCACAAGCTCCCCCTACATTTTCCAATATAATGAATAAATTAAAATAACGAACTAGTAAAAAAAAATGACACGTTAATCTTTAAAACATACGACGTGTACTGTATCTATTTTGCAATTGTATACAAAACATACTGTTCCTTAGGCATATTGAATTAATAGAAATTCAAAAACTATTAAAATATAAAAATTGAAGACAATAATTAATAAGTTAACTTTCAACTAACTAATAACTTAACTCGTGATAAATTGCAAAAAGGAATTAATTTGTATGTAAAGAGCCCTAATTATATTTCTTTCTTTAAGTTTTTTGCTTTTACTTTAATTTATATAACCTTGTTTTGGTATTGTAGTGGATGTAGAGTAATGACCGATAAAAACTAACGATGGACAATGGACTAATTAATTGAATTGGAAACCACTAGCTTAATTAGTACGTACGAATTGAAGTATTAATTAGGAAAAATGTAGCCTTCAAAATAGACAATATTAGGCTTACCCATTGTGCCGGATGCGTCCTCTCCGCCATAAAAAGTAGCATGACCTAAGTCTGCGAAAACGCCATAAAGAGATAATAGATTAATCAAAATGAAGGAAAGTGAAGCACGTAATAATGTTGACGAAATTGTCATTATGTCGTCGTTAAAGACAAAATTAGCGTTAATTGGAGACTATCTAGGGATTAGAAACAAAGTAGGGGATGAATTAAGTGATGATTGGTAGTACATTATAGAGTAAGGTGTGGTTTATATAGGCATAAGGTAGGGTTATGTATGAACAAAGTTGTCTATAAAAGATAATGACTATCTTAGCTTGCAATGCCTCAATATGACTAATTAAATTGAATACAATGACATAATATTTGATTTAGGTAGGCCAATATCACGTATTTAAGTACTTAATGAATGCACATGGTAGGACGATCAATTGCTTAAGTAAATTGGCCCCATCTCCACATGCACTTCTAAATCATTGTTGATGATCAATGTATGTATGTATGTATTATGTTTTGTGTTTAATTGGTTATTTTATTATTCTTACAAATTTTTATAATAATAATAATAATAATAATAATAATAATAATAATAATAATAATAATAATAATAATAATAATATATTATTATTATTATTATTATTATTATTATTATTATTATTATTATTATTATTATTATTATTATTATTATTATTATTACTCCCTCCGTCCCTAAATTACATTCCTGTTTTACTCTATTATGTGAGGAATAAATGCTAGAAATAGGAATGTAATTTAGGGATGGAGGGGGTATTATTATTATTATTATTATTATTATTATTATTATTATTATTATTATTGGTGTCAAAGCTAATAGTTTATACTACCTCCTCTAATTTTTGCTCTACTCACTTATTATTCATTGGATCAAAAATAAAATTAAAAAAAAAATTTTGTTCGTTTCTACTTATGCACAAATCTAAAACTATCATGTGAAGATCTTGTTAGAATTATTTTTGCTTTAAAAAAAAAAAAAAAAAAAAAAAAAAAAAAAAAAAAAAAAAAAAAAACTTGTTAGAATTATTTCAATGTCTTATTCTCCAAATATCAAATTTTCATACAATTCTATATGCAACTGATCCTTAGCTATTTAGGCGTCCAAGACCTTCTGGTCTTCGGTAGCTTAAGGTGCTGGTCTTCGGTCGCTTAAGGTGCTTAAGGAAGGAAAGTTAAGGAAGCAAGGCAATCTCAGCACACGGCTGCTCTAGAAGTACCAAAACTAGTAATATACTTTACTACGTAATTAAAGATATAATTGGTCAAACATGCATTTAGAAACCACACAAAATGTAAGTCAATAGAACAAAAAAGGACGGAGGGAGTATGTAACTGGAGAATTTCACATTAATAAAGAAGAAGAGGGAAGATGAACAACTAATTGATGAACAAATAGATATGGTGGATTACTCCACTTGTTATTACCAATTGGTTTTGTATGGGGAAATATCTACATAACGGAAATCATTATAGGCCGATATGGTATGACAGACCGACATACTATTTGAACTCGATCCATCAATAGCTTTTGTTAATATCGGCATTTCTGTATAAAGTATAAATATCGGCATGTAAGTAGTTGCTACGTGTCGTGCTCGCGTTTGACACGTGGCAGAAATTATATTACTTGTTAAATTGCCATCTGTCACTTAATAAACCTATAAATAATCTGATTTTACTTCATAAACAAGGTAGCATTGATTACACTCTTTCTCTCACTACTCTCCCTCTCATTACTTTCTCTCTCTAAATAATCTTTCTTCCATAAACACTTGCTGACTTAATCTTTGGAGCGGTTATCCCCGGATTCACCCCGGGGCTAGCTAATCTCTTCTCTTTGTGTAGGTTCTTACTTGGCCGATAGGAGCAGAACGGGTTATATACTCGAGCTTCGGATCTTGGATTCGGGTTATCGGATTCCTACAGAAACAATTGGCGCTAGAAGGAGGGGAAAAAGCGGCAGTTAAATCGGCCGCATACAAAAACAGAATGTCAAGGGCCTATAATAAGAGAGTTAATCACCGACCACTAGTTGTCGGAGATTTAGTGTTAAGAAGAACATCGGCAACAGGAAAGGGGAATGAAGATGGAAAGTTAACAGCTACCTGGGAAGGTCCATATCGAATAAGAGACATGGTAATGCAAGGATCATACTATCTGGAATCTGAAGACGGAAAGCCACTGAAGAATGTCTGGAATACCGCAGTTCTTAAAAAATACTATGTATAATGTAAAAGTTGAGTTAAAGTATTTTGTATGATAGTGTTGATAAATAAAATCAGATGCAATGATCTACTCTACAATTTGTGTATAAAGGCATCCTCCAATTAACAGACCACCGTTAATTGGGATGGACAGCCAAAAACCACTTCCGTGACGATAACGCTCTTACAACCTGATCAGTTGTATTCGTTAAATCACGAGGTTGTTGGTTCAATATAATATCCCGGCCAAATCATTATACAGTATGCGCCGACATGAGGCGCAGCTAAAACATGATCGCCGATAAGGGTACTTGCGAAACTATTATGTAGTTGCACAAGTGACCAATGAGTTACAAAACATAAACTATCGTCGTGTACAAAAAGATGTAAGTACATACATCATGAAAATGATGTCTGCATTAAGCGGGGAAGAATAAGGGGCTATACTACGCCCGATATTACAGTCTTAATAAGGGGCCATATCGATATCCTTATGCTTATAAGTATAACGTACGAATTTGTCGATATCCTTATGCTTATAGGTATAACGTACAAATTGTGTAAAGTAAATCGATTCTAAATTGAATAATTAAAATCGATAAAAGTTAAAACCGGGACAGTTATAGCATTTAAAAGAACTGCATAAAAACGTAAATACATTAAAGATATACAAACATAGTGTTATGAAAGAAACGATGTTTTGGCAAAGCTAAAACAAGATCGACAGACATCACCACAAAAGGGTATATGCCGATAAAACAGCATTGTCAAAAGCAAGTTTTCTAGAAATACATAACCAAAATAGAAACTACAGTGAGTAAGGCCCCATAACGCAAGAGCCGCAAGATGATGATGGTGATGGCTGCCCGCCCCTTTAAGCCGATTTGTTTTCAGGTTCAGGAGAATCCAAAATCTTAGGGTCGGAAACGCCGATATCATCAGGAGGAGCAAGATTAAAGATATATGCGTCTGAGAACTCCTGTTGCTCGAATCCAGAAGGTGTCTTGTGAGCATCATTATTAAATGTTGTTTCAATCTTAGCCCAGTCTTCTTGTTTTAGGCCGATAACATGGGCAGCACACCTCTGAGCAGCAGTCCACCCACCATCAAAACGATCTTGTAGTTTACTGCAAAATTCTGCCGATGACAAATAACGGCTAACCGCCCTTTGCCGTACCCCAGATTTATCGGCTTTCAATTTTTGCAGCTGGCCTTCTAAGTTGCCGATTGTTGCCTTAGCCTTAGAAAGATCACTCTGTGCAGTAGAAAGCTGATTCTTCACGGCGTTCTTATCTTCAAGCTGAGATTTAAGATCCTTTATCTCCTCTTCAAGATTTTTCATTTTTTCAACTTTCTCGCGCAGAGATGACAATTCGGCATCATCTTTCGCTTTTATCAGCTTAATTCCATCAACAGCCTTTCTGGCATTATTCAAAGCTGTCTCCAGAGATTGTTGGTTAGACATGTTCTGATGATACTTATCCTGATAGAATTTATACATCCCAACCAACTCTGTTCCAGAAGCAACCGCCTATAAACAAGTGAAATATGAAAGATATAAGCCATGTGTCTTAATGTAAAAAAAAAATGGATACTGATGAGTGAAATTTATGTTACCCTTAGGGGTAGTGTATTGGTCTCTTTTCTCCTGTTTTTCTTAGGTTTTCTACCTCTTTTCTCCTCTTATGGCTTCCTTTTCTTTTATGGATGAAAAGTATGCTTATTTGCGCTTGTTTTGATAATCTTTATGCATAATTTTATCATCCCCATGCTCTCGTGATCTTTGCTATCTTTGCAGGTTCCATGACGGTCCTAAGCACGGTAGGAGGCCCCTTGGCCAAGTATGGAGGCATGGACAAAGACAAGAGGAGCAAAAGGGAAGAAGAGGAAGCAAGAAGAGGAAGTTCAAGAGGAGGTGTGGCCGAACCTCTAAGAGGTTCGGTCGAACCAAGGTGTGGTCAAACTTTTGAAACGTTCGACCGAACCTCCAAGGCAGTTTCAACCAAGTTTTCAGCATGTTTACAGGAGGGGTCGAACCAGGAAAGTTCGACCAAACAAGGATCAGGGAGGTTCGACCGAACCTACCCTGAGTTCGGCCGAACCTACCCTGAGTCCGACCGAACCTACTCAGAGTTCGGTCGGACCTTTTCCCGTTTCAGCTAACTTTTTGCGGAGCTTCCTAAGCAATTTTGTAAGGGGTATAAATAGTTTTTTTTTTGCTCATTAAAAAAACGGATTTTTTTAGTTTAGAATAGTTTTTAGGTTAGTTTTAGGTTTTTAGAGAGAGAAACTCTCAAAATTTTGGAGAGAGAAAGTGAGGAGCACAATGGTTTTCATGGATTTTGGATAATCAAAGGAGGAATTTGATGATTTGAAGATCTCCATTTTATATCAATGAGCATTTCTTACTCTCTTCTCTCTTTATGCTTTATTAATTGCTTTGTTAATCATGTTTGAGTAGATTTCCTTCTACTAGGTGTTGAGTGAAGCTTTGTTATGGTTAATTGAGTTATTTGAGATAAATTTGATGATAATTGTGTGATTAAATTGATTGAATTGATGATGGCATGTTGTTTGTTTTAGATTGGATTGATCTCCCAAGATAGCAAACTTAATTGCATGTTAGTTCTACTTTGACAAGGGATTGTGAATTAGAATTTATATATTTGATTTCATTTTGGGTATATTTCTTCTATGCACCTAGTCAATGAGGGATCTAGGCTAGGAATTTGAGAGATTTCTCTTGATGGTAATTAATTCCCATTTTAATTCTTTCTTTGCATGATTGATTATCAAATCGATTCCCATTAACTTGTTAATTGTTCAAAGTGGATCTTTTCCCCTAGTAGACTTTATCATACCTTGTTCTTTATATTTGTTTTAGTGTAGTTGTAGTGTCCTTTATCCGTAAATCGACTTCGGCATAGCTTAGGCATTAGATTAAGAACAATCTAGCATTACCGTTCCTTGTGGTTCGACTCCGAACTTACCACTAGACTTGTTTAGGGG